TAGCATATGTACATAATCAAATTAAGGATAATGTACATATGTGAAAATTATATACAGTGGGTACGGAAAGTATTCAGACCCCCTTAAATTTTTCACTCTTTGTTATATTGCAGCCATTTGCTAAAATCATTTGTTAATTTTTTTTCCTCATTAATGTACACACAGCACCCCATATTGACAGAAAAACACAGAATTGTTGACATTTTTGCAGATTTATTAAAAAAGAAAAACTGAAGTGAAAAATTTAAGGGGGTCTGAATACTTTCCGTACCCACTATATCTCCATGTAGGTAACATATATATGTCATATATTACATTTCCATATATAAGGAATTATTTACTAGCATATTTTTATATTTACATTTACATTATTTATATTTCTAGTAAAAAGCACATGAATCAAAACTCTTTAGATAAACTCTGCTATGGTTTTTCCCTCAGGTGTCCTCTGCAATGATGGAAGGTGCCTCAAAAAGTGATGCCACACCACAGACGGCTGTTGCTGCACAAGTTCCGTTCATCGACCTCTGCACAGTTCTGGAGAACATCCAAAAGACCAAACTCCGACCAGACAAAGGCAAAATTCTAAAGGATTTTATTGATTCTTGGAGGAACTTCCATGCAGCGCTTCACAAGGACAATTCCAATACCACAGATTCATTTTACGCAGCCATGCGTCTTATTGTGCCTCAATTTGAACGAGAGCGAATGGCTTATGGTATAAAAGAAAACATGCTTGCCAAACTATATATTGAAGTTTTAGGCCTGCCTAAAAATGGACCTGACGCAAACAAACTCCTAAATTATAGAACTCCAACCACAAGTCAAGGAGAAGCAGGTGACTTTGCCCTTATGGCCTACTTCGTCCTGAAAAAAAGGTGTACAAGTCAGGGGAATTTAAGCATTAAAGAAGTCAATGACTTCTTGGATTCCGTAGCTATCAACAATGCCAGCAAACAGAAGGATCAAGTGAAGAAAAGCCTTTTGCATCTGATAACCCAGAGTTCAGCTTTGGAACAGAAGTGGCTCATTAGAATGATCCTCAAGGACATGAAACTTGGCATTAGCAAGGAGACAGTACTTCAGGTTTTCCATCCAGATGCACCAGAACTCTACAATGTCACCACAGATCTGAATAAAGTCAGCCGACAACTTCATGATCCATCTGTGTCCCTCAGTGAGGTCTCCATCGATCTGTTTTCTGCTTTTAAACCAATGCTGGCTGCTGTTGCCAACATCAGACAGATAGAGAAGCAAATGGGCAACCGGACATTCTATATTGAGACTAAGTTTGATGGTGAACGCATTCAGCTGCACAAAGCTGGAGATGTTTACAAATACTATACCAGGAACTCTTATGAGTACACACAACAGTTTGGGGCCTCTCCACTAGAGGGCTCCCTCACTCCATACATTCACAACGTCTTCAAACCTCATGTGGTAAACTGCATATTGGATGGAGAGATGATGGCTTATAACCCCACAACTGAGACCTTCATGCAGAAGGGCAGTAAGTTTGATATTAAAAGGCTGATGGATGACTCTGATTTGCAAACCTGCTTTTGTGTATTTGATGTCTTGTTAGTAAACAATCAGAAGTTTGCAAATGAGCCTCTCAAGAAGCGCTACGAAATTCTTGAGACTGTCTTCACACCGATCAAAGGTCGTATCCAGTTGGTCACAAAATCTGAAGGCAAAACCATGCAAGAAGTGGTGAATTCTCTCAATGAGGCCATTGACAATCTGGACGAGGGGATTATGGTTAAGGATCCCATGTCCATCTACAAACCAGATAAACGGGGCGAAGGATGGGTGAAAATTAAGCCTGAATATGTAGATGGTCTGATGGATGAACTTGATCTGCTGATAGTGGGAGGCTACTGGGGTAAAGGCAGGAGAAGCGGGATGCTCTCTCATTTTCTGTGTGCGGTAGCAGAGGTGCCGAGTCCAGGGGAGAAGCCCACAGTGTTCCACACCCTCTGCCGCATTGGATCAGGCTACACTATGAAAGAACTGTACGATCTTGGTCTGAAGTTGGCCAAACATTGGAAAGTTTACAACAGAAATAATCCTCCAGCTGCCATCTTGTGTGGAACAGAAAAACCAGAGGTTTACATAGAACCACGCAACTCAGTGATCATACAAGTCAAAGCGGCAGAGATCGTCTCTAGTGAAATGTATAAGACCAACTGCACATTACGCTTCCCCAGAATAGAAAGAATCAGAGAAGACAAAGAGTGGTATGAGTGCATGACCTTGGCTGAACTGAGCCAGTTCCGCTCCAGAGCTTCTGGAAAGCTGGCTTCCAGACATCTACATATCCAAGAGGACCAGCCTGAAAAGAAGAAGCACAAGTTCGTAGCCAAGCCCAAGAAGACAATCGGAGTCATTGACCACTTTAAATCTCAGGATTTATCAGCGGTCACCAAAGAGATGGATATGTTTGAAGATGTGGAGTTTTGTGTGATAAATGGCAATGATGAATATTCCAAGGCAGAGCTTGAGAAAGTTGTGGCCCGTTGTGGAGGCATTGTTGTGCAGAACCCTGGGAAAGACACGTACTGTGTGATTGCAGCTGCGCACAACATGAGAGTAAAGAACCTCATCTCCTCAGACCAACATGATGTGGTGTGGGCTACTTGGCTGCTGGAGTGTCTGGAAAATAAGCAGGTTATACCCTGGCAACCACGTCACATGATCCACATGTCACCTTCCACCAGGAACCACTTCGCTAAAGAGTATGATCGGTATGGAGACAGTTATTATGTTGACACTGATGAACAACAGCTGAGGGAAGTCTTTGAAAGGATAGGCCCCACAGAAGCTGAGTGTTCGTCTGTGGCACAGATAGAAGCAGAGAATGCCTGGGATGACTTGCCCACTAGCATTTTTAGGCCTTGCACTGCTTACTTTGACCGGTGTGCTGACCTTGGAGATCCCAAAACCATCATACGGGGTACAAGTTTGGACACGTGTGCCTTAGAATTCCGATTCCATGGTGGTACTGTTGTGGAGAAACTGAAGGAAGGAATCTCGCATGTCATAGTAGAAAGTGAAAGAAGAACTCTGGGCTTGAAGACGTTGAGGCGACTTTATGCTAAGAAGTTCAAAATTGTTCGAGAATCTTGGGTGACCGATTCTATCAAAGCAGGCCATGTAGAGGATGAGACTGACTACTTAATATAACCATGAAGGCTACTACACAAACTATAACACTGGAAGATTGTGGTGTTTTAATACTAGCTGTAATAAACTACACTGGATAACCATTAGTTGCATTAAAGTTAACCATTTAAAAATATATATAAAATGATGGGACTGGAAAGGATTACCGTTTGAATTATAAGGAGAATAATTTACTGTTGAAAGTACATCAGTACCTTTTAAAGTTTGTCATATGTCTCTGATTTAAAGCACTAAGTACACTCTAAAAAATGCTGGGTTGTTTCAACCCAGCTTTGGGTCAAATATGGACTAACCCAACTTTTGGGTTAAAAATTTAATGTAAAAATTTAACCCAACGGCTGGGTTAGTCCATATTTGACCCAAAGTTGGGTTGAAACAACCCAGCATTTTTTAGAGTGTAAGACGGAGTTTGATTTAAAGCACTGAGAAAAATTGTACAGGTGGAAACAACGCCTTTTGGAGGAAAAAAAACCTTTATTTTTCTTACGCTGTGTTTTGTTCTAAATAAAAATGTCAAAATTATAGGATGTACTGTATTAAATGGGGTGGTTATAACATAATGGTTAAGAATCTTAGCCTTTATATGTCACACTATTAATTACATTGATGTTACTGTACAATTAGTTACTTAAGATGGAAATTATATGCAAAATAACGTGTCATTAAATTTGATTCTTAAAGAAGCATTCAGAATTTTAATTGAAGCTGTCAAAAGTGTTTTTCTTGTACATTAACTTGACTCATTACAGTCAGACAAATTGAGCTTCTGACAAGCTTGAAGTTCCATTTGAACAGCTTGTCAAGCACACTGAATTTATTGTGTGAGAGCTGTAGCTCTCTAATTGTTTGGAATGGGAGTTACTGTAATGCTTCCAGAGATCTAATTTCCAGAGTGCTAATAGAATGATTGAGGCTTCACACTCAAACACATTCAACTGTGTGTCTAGGTATTGTAAAGATAGATTTGCATTTGAGTAATATGGATATTACACTAGGTAATTGGTGTGAGCTTGTGAGTGACAAATCCATCCCTCATTGAAAATGAAAGCATAATGTGCTTGGACTGAATTATGAAATCCACATTTAGTGTGGGAAGGTGCTTCGGTTTGGAAATTTATGCTGCAGAGCCATGACAGAAATGGTCCTAAGACAATAGCGTGTAATGTGTTTTAGGGAGGGGAATTGTTTATTGTTCCACAGACGGGTAAAACTTTTGTAACATTGTTTTGTGTATATATATATATATATATATATATATAGTCTTTCTGTCTGGAAATCCCTAGTCTGTATAGCCATAGACAACATCTTTTAAGTGAACCAGACCTTTAAAGTGAAAATTGTCATAGTATAATGTCTATTCTCTTTTCAATACAACGAGTTTGTGAGTAGTTTATTGGTTTTCTCAAGCTCAGAGTTATGGATAACACGATTTTTAGAAAATAATGACTTGAAGTATCAGTTTCTTCTTCACACAAAGCTATTGTACATCTTAGACGGTCAGTCTAAGAGACAAGAATAGACATTACCTCATCAAATAAAAAAGGTACAGACAGAGTGTGGGATTTCAAATAAAGACAAAGTCTGAAAAGAAAACCCTGGGAAGAAAAGTTTTTTTGTGCAAATTCTTCATTGCCTCTTTGTGTTTTGTCTTTCACATACACACATTATAAGCTTTGAGTGTGAAATCACGCTGCCATGCAGATCTAGGGAGAGTGAAGCACACTACCAAAGAAGAAAAACAAAAACTTGTTACAGGTTTTGGACAAGAAATGCAAGGACATTGGAAGGTAATATGAATCTCAATCTGACCGAAGATGTGTCCCAGAGTGGCTGCTAGCTGGTGCACCCACTGTTGAAAGCTTCCTGTATGGAAAAGGTCAGAGAAAAATCATGAGTTTATATCAGCCTGCAGTAGCTTTGACTGCTTTTTGAAGTTAGTCACTAATGTTGTGTAGGATATAGGCTTTGCAGTATTATTTTATTGAAAATCAAGGTGTTGGTAAGATTAATTAGCATTGATTTGTGTTTTGATGTTATGATATCCATATCCTATTCTTCTAGAGAAAAGCATATCATATTTTTTTTTACTGATGGCCAGTCTTTCGTTGAGCAGTTAAGTCTTAGTCAGTTAGCAGCAGTAATTGGATGTTTATACAAGGTATAAGAGAGGATCCATTACCCTGGGGCTTCCTGGAAACAAATCAGTGGGAAACGGCTGCATGTATTTGAAATAAACACATCCCCCCCGACCCCACCCCACTGAGAGCCAGAAAACTTGACTCAAAAATGGTGAATTTGCCTTGCAAATGAGTGTGCCTTCCCTCTGGTGACACGTTAGTTTAGAGCCACTGGTCCAGGATGTTTAAGGAAGATCCTGTCAAAAGCAATTTGTCTTTAGTTATGTAAGGTGGACAGTGTTATTGGCATGAGTCAATGCTGCTTATCATATATGGAGTGACAAAACATGTATACATTCTTATACATGAGTCATACTGTATAATTTGAGAGCCTGGTGAATTATAGCCTTGCTTTGTGTGTCTGCTCAGCTTGAATGCTATTGTCGTTTTAATGCCATGATCTCAGCACACATACGGTATTTCTAACCGTTCTGCTTTCTGATCATCTGTGGTTCTGCGCCGAGGCCAAACTGACAAGGACCCGAGACAAGTTAGCTTCAGTGGACATGAGCGCAAACCACAGACCCGACCTCCCTTCTACACACAGCCGCCTCAGAAGAAATGAAGATGCTATTTTTGTAGTCAATTCTACCAAACCTTTGTGGCAACTAGAAACTTGCCAGCCGGATGGTTTGTCTGAAAACTGCTTCACTTTTGTCGACGCTGACCACTTGTGCAGGGGCCTTTCGCAAACGGAGGGGACGCGGTGGATGAACATAAGCGATTTGTACCTTTCCTTTTGTAATTCGTACTCTCTTATGGATTTGCTTTACGGATCGTTAAGTCCGGACAATTTGAACTGCAGCCTTAATGTGATCGTGGACGGCGACCTAAACAGGTGCAGTCTGTGCGTTCAGGCGTACCAGCGTTATGACCTGCACGCGCTGGAGAAATATGAGGAATTTGAGATGATGGCAGACAAATACGAGACGGATGTGTACTCAGTAAGGACGTGCATGGAAGAATGCAAGGTAGGGCTTTATGATCTGGATCTCTCGTTTTCGCTGAATAGAGTTGGCTCTTCGTTCTCAGTCGTCATGGTAACTGGTGACAGTAACGCGGTGATGTTTTTTGTGGGGGAAAAGTGCTGTTCATATTGTATTCGTGTTTTTTTCCCGCATTTCGCATCTGTTGGTGGTGCCAACTTTGCAGTCATTTCATTTCCGAGACAGTTGGAGGGTGAAAAATCAGACAGGCGTTTAAACTTTTCCTTTTCAGCTGTCTCAAATTATTCCTAGAGCGATCAACGCAAAATCCATTGTTCTGGTCTGATTTTACGGAGGAAATTACATGTTGCTGCTGATCCAAGGTTACTCAATGCACAAAACGCCGCACAGCAAATATTTCAACGTGCGTGCGTCATTCTATAGCGCGCAGGTGCGTCTCTCTGAACTGAATATAGAGCTGCTCCGCCAGGTGTTCATTCACGTCCACCACACTGAGTACATTTCAATAACGCTAATAGGGCAGCGGTGCTTTCTCGGCTAATCTCTCACAAGAGTATTTTCCCTCGCACATTGGTCTTGTTTGCACAGCACTCTGCGCGCGCTGCAACTGGTTGCCCTCTTAACCGCCATAAACTTGACATTAAGGTTAATTTTCGAGCTCCCGCTGTCATCTTAAATGGATTGCTCCTGGGCGACGAAAAAAATGGCACTGTGTATAGTTGCTGTGTGCTGTTAAGGAAGCGATCTGGCCGTGTTCTTTACGCGTGTGTGTTGCTTTGCGTAATTAATGGTCAAACATTTACCGAGAGCTTGTAAGTTGTCGTTTAAATGAAGGAGGCACAGATAAGCTGGTGAATAAGTGGGTGGCGTGTTTTGCTTATTCACTGGTTCATTTGGCACAGGACTCGACCGCTTCTCACGGAGTCCTGTGCTCGCTGTCCGTGGTGCTGAAACACGCTTAGTTCTACAATGAAAGGGGCAGGCCTTTTGATGCAGGGGACGTTATTACATGAGCAATTTGTATTTTTTTTACAGCATCATTGCCAGTGACAGTTGTGACATTGGACCTTTGCATCTGTGATACACCTGCAGTCCTAAAGTTGCCTTTCATGAAAAAAAGCTGTTTTGTTAGTCCAAAATAATAGTAAATGTAGTTAGTATCAACACAATTTCATATAGGCTGACAGTGAGGCTGTGTGCTTATTTCAACCTTTTGATGAGTTACATTTCTTTTCAGGACAATTCATACTGCCACCTGTGCATGATGTTTTCTTTGCCTTCGCCATATCTTAGCAAAGTGACAGCCACAGAATTGCTATTCAGAAACCTCCCATATATAATCTCTCTGCAGCAGCCTCTACAGAACAATTATTTCTATTAAATGCTTGCAAAGTATTGTTTGAGGATAGAAATTCTGGTCTGTAACCACAAATGAGTCTTTTGTGTTATTGTGGACGATAAGTCTACAGTATACTGTTTTGCAGCATTTTCTTTCTGTGCAGGAAAACATGAAGTGCTCATCATTGCTGGCACAATACAGCTGAATATATTGTGTCATTACAGTGCATTTATATCGAATGCTTTTTATGGCTTTCAAATGGAAAGGATGCACGTAGTAGAATATTTGGACTGTTCTGTTTCTCAGACATTTTCAAGCGTTAACGTAACTGTCGAACCATGTTACCGTAGCCTGATAAACTACCAGTGAGTGTGAATGAAGGCCATAATGCAGAGGGAGGTGGCAGGAGTCAGTCAGAGCCTCTGGCAAGCAGCTGCAAGGGATAGCCAGTCCCAGCTGTGATTAAGCAGTGAGAGATAGAGACAGAAAGGAAGACAGAGAGAGACTGAGAGGATGGGTAATCACTGTGACACGCCGTCTCTGACAGCCGGATCAGCCTTCAGGTTGATTTAATTCGGCACCTTCCTTGCACTGCATCGGAGTGTGGAAGACACTGTTACTTTTGTTTGCGTGTATGGGTTTGTATTATGTGTAAATGTTTTAAAGGTTCAGTTCAATTGCTATGAATAAACCAGACATTATAAATAGGTAACAAACAAATGAACGAAGGGAGGGGGTAGCGATTAGAGGAATAAACTAAGAAGGTTTTACTCAATAGTGTTTCACTGGTGTTACAGCTAGGCTGTTCTGTGACAAAGCAATCACATCAATGATAACATGGACCACATTTAGTGTCTCAGAGACCAAAAGTGGACAGTACTTTTCTTCAAAGGTGGAATGCCTTTGATGTTCTTTTTTACACTACAGTGTGTTCTCTTATGTCAAGTATTTAATTAATCATGCAGAATAACTTCGAGAAGTCCATTTTGTTACTTGCCCTGACTTTTCCACTCACTGTGATTCAAAATAATTAGATTCTAGCAGTGAAACCTGCTGTTTCTTGCTGTAGCGAGTTGAATATATGCTGGCCTCATTACATTTTAATTGGAAATGTGGATGAAAACCTCCTAATGTAGGTTCTGAATGCTTGGCGTAGATCTTTGTGATTTTCACTGATTGGCTCTTATAGGCAATAGAGAAAGGCTTGTGGTATAGAACTGATAGCTATTGGGATGAAACCCTATTTACTGAGAATAGATAAGGACAAGCCCAACATTCCTCTAAGAGCATAGATAGTGTTAGTACACTTGGCAGGGTATGATCCCCTCAAGGGTTAGCACAATTGTTTGTTCATCTCTTTTAAAGTTGTCTCATTTTTGGGACATCACCATTCTGTCTGTTGCACACATTTTCCTGTATTGCAATACAATTAAATAATTGGTAATTGAATAATCTCCTCATATAGATTTCCACATTTTTCCATTTTGTATCCTCTATCCAGTATTCCTAAATTAAAGCAATAGTTCCCCCCAAAATGTGAATTCTGTCATAATTTCCTCACCACTCTAAAAAAAGATGGTTCTTTAAAGGTTCTTTACATGTAGAACCAGTTCTGTTTAGAACCATAGCACCCTGAATAACCCTTTTAATGCTGAAATGGTTCTTTGTGTCAGGGTTTAGGGTTCTTTATTCTCACCCTTTTGTTTTTCAAATCTGTAACTGTCAAAGCACCTCATTGCTGAGTTTCTGGAGTTCAGTGATCCAACTACACAGACTGTCAACACACTCTGGTAACAGGTAAATGATTTCATTCTAAAATTTAAATACAAATATAACTTTAAAACTGGTTTTCAAACAAACATGTTCTTTTCTCTTCTTTTTTGATCACATATAAGTGGGAGCAGCTCTGGCTGAGGAAACTCCTCTTCTCCACCAAATAAGTAACAGAGACATTGAATTTATAATCCATATTGTTAGTTTTTAAATACTTTTTATTACTAACAGAGGCTACACTCTAAAAAAGATGGATCATTAGGCCTACTGATTTTCTGGAGTTCAGCTATCCAACTACACAGACTGTCAACACACTCTCAGCAGGTAAATGATTTCTTTCTTAAAATGTCTATAATTTTTAACTTTCAAATTGTAACTGGTTTCTTACAAATCATGTATTTTTCTCTTTTCAGTTTAAGAGAACATGTAAGTGTGACCAGCCCTGTTCAGTTAAGGATACTTTTCTCCTCTTCACCACTAAGTAACACAAATATTTAATTAATGGTAATTTTTTTGTTTTGTTTTTACAAAAACAAATGGAAGGAGACGCATTGTAACTCTGAACTAAATTGTGTATTTCAGATGATGCCACATCCTACAACCTCGTCATCTGCAGAGAGAAACGGCCACTCAATCACACCAAAATACACATAATGATGAACTTACAGGCATCACAGAGGATTATGAAAATACAGTATTTACAGAAACTTGGTCTTCATTTCACTATTTTCAGTTTCTATTTTGTTTTACTTCAAGTATTTATTTATGTTCAATGTCAATTGTTATTTTTGAATGTATTCTGCTAATAACTGTTGTTAGAGCACTGTCATTTTTGCCACAAATTCACGTCATTAAAAAATAAAAGTACCTAACTGACACGTTGTTGTTGTTTTTATGTAAAACCCTAATAGACACTACAGGATATTGTAATACCAGGCAGATAGAGGAGTAAAAAACAATATTAATAAATAATATATAGAAATAATATTAATAATGATGTAAATATGTTAATATACTAATATTAATGAAAATAAACTATCATTAAAAAGGTTATTTATAACACCATTAAGGTCCTATATAGCATTTTCAAAGCATGGTTCTTTATGGAACCCTATAAAAAGGGTTCTATTTAGCACTAAAAAGGCTTCTGCTATTGTTACAAGCCGAAGAACCCTTTTCCGGTACTGTTTAGAACCATTTTTCTTAAGAGTGTTTATCCATACAGACCCTGGAGCTCATTTTGCGTTCCCAGACAAGGGGGCCTTCGACTCGCCTCAACCCAGCCACGGTGAGGGTACATGGGCTAGGCTCTTATTGTTCTCATCTGGTTTTCTTTCTTTTGTGGAACATGGAAGATAGGTTGAAGAATGCTGACAGAATCAAATAATGACAATTAATTTACTTTAACAGGGTGCTTTGCTCATTTGACTCAACCAACTGTAAGTGGATCCAGGATTTGCTTGTCACTGAGCTTCACATGGAGTGGGTTTGGAAAATCTGAAATGCAAATTATACAAAACAGAAGCCCCTTCATTGTTATCATGTTTACGAAGGGACGTTTTTTGTTTGCTTTCCTACTCTTTTTATTCTAGAAAGTGCAGACAGTGCTCCTCTGTGTCTCATTAAGGCTATCACTGTTCACTGTGTTATTTAAACAGGGATTTTATTTGTGTTAGCCAGCAAAAGATGACTATCAGAAGGCTAGTTTCTTTATCCACATCCTGGCATGAAACTTCTAAACTGATATAAAACCAGAGTTACAGAGGACAGAATTGGTGACTACTAAATCTTTCTCTGTGGATGATCACATTTGTCTGAATGTAAGTTTAGATATTTTTTTGTCATTTACCACTTATAGGTTGATTATTTGTACCAAATTATTTGTATGAGTGAGAAGGTGAGCATGGTGCTC